TAGGTGTACATTCTAACATGTAGTATTATATATTTATGCCAAAAAATTATACTAATAGGTTTCTTAAAGGTTATCATGTAGGATTTTTAACGTGTAGTATTATGTCCTAAAAGGCTAAAACTAATAGGATTACAAGGCTAATGTCTGGAATTCTGATTATGTCCTTTTATTGTGAGTTATTATGGTTAATATTAAAATGTTATTTTTGTACTCCAACATTTTATTCATGCTCTTATAATAATATTGATATAGATAGACATAGACATATGTATAGATATAGATAAGAGTAAAAGTGATTTGGGTGAATAACTTGTCCTCCATTTGTATTTAATAACCTTAAAATTTGGATAACAATTAGGTTCTCGACTTCTCGTTTATCATTCTATCACAAGATCCAATTATTGAATAGTGATCTTCAAATTCCAATTAGTTTCTCTTCTATGATTTTACTTTACGTGCGAAATATTTATATTTGCATAGGGATTAAACAAAAGGTAGAACGTCCATATAAGTGATTCTGCCGCTTAGTTGCTACAATTCCTTTTATAAGTTATCTTGGTATCGTGTAGGATTCTAACGTGTAGTATTATGTCCTAAAACTAATAGGATTATAATGTTAATATCTAGAATTCCGGTTATATCCTTTCATTATGAGTTATTATACTTAATATTATAAGATTATTTTTGTAAACCGACTTTTTATTCATGCTTTTATAATACAGATAGATAGATTGTAATAGATAACGTCTGTCTTATTTATTTTATAGTTTACTAATCTCGCTTTTTATAAGGTCATATGCGATTATATATCTTTTAAATAAATTGATAGTGTTAAAAAAAATTTTATTGTCAATATCTAAAAGTAGAGCTGCTCTTTCATATCAGACTGACCATGAAGTTGCATGTAAAGATTGGATCTATTCACGTGTACCTGTACCGGCCACTTATCATTAGGGAATTATGGCATCCTTTTGATCAGTTGCTATATATTATAAACTAAATCCAAAGATAAATACTATATTGTTTAATTTTTCCATAAGATTGGTCAAACCCCTAAACTCTTCTCAAGAGTCAATCATGTAAACAGAAGATACCAAATAAAGCACTAGCAGGAATTGGACAATGAACACCAAATAATAAATGACTTTGGAAGTCAATAATAGCTAAGTTCAAGTAACGAAAAAATGATATTGTATAGTTGCTCTCTAAATAATAGTTGAAAAAATATATATTTTTGGTATATATATATTGTTGCGTATAATAGATACTTGTGGTCCAACCCATCCTCAGACCCACGTATAGCGGAAACTTAGTGCATCGGGCTGCCCTTTTATACATTTCTGTATGTTATAACAAAAATATACAAATTTTATACACTTTTGCGGCTACTGAATGTAAATAGTTTTGGTCGCAGGGTAAAAGTGATATTTGCCCTTGAAGTAATTATATTCTCTCCCTTTTTTTTTTTATAGCTTTCCACCTAATGTTCGATATCCCATTGGAGCCCTGACTAATTCGAATTCGTGTCGCGTAACCCATTTAAGGGCAAAGCGCTCCCTCACAGGATTTTTTTTCATGCCCAAGAAGTAATCATATACAGTTCAATATAGCACTTTTTCCTTCTATCATTTACAAAAAGTACTGATCTGAGGCTTCGTATTAGGTACTTTAATGAAGTCGATGAATTAAAGTCAAATTAAAGTTAAAGAAATAAATTGAAAACTGAAGTAATCCCTACTATTATTTTAAGGAATTATAGTACAAACTTTTTTTCTTTTCTTTTTCTAGCTTAAAAAGCATCAAATAATAGAAGAAGTTATACAGATCTCATTGTTGACCAAGAAAGAGTACAAAATAAAAGTAACTAATTTTATATACCGTGTATTTACGTTGACTTTCAACTACCCATGCTAGGCGAATTTTCACTGTTTTTAATTATTCCTTTAGTTTATTCTTTCAATTTAATTTTATATTAGGGTTTGCTTCAGTATATTAATCATCTCGTAAAAGACAAGAGGACAGAAACCATATTTTCATGTAAATGTTCACAAAGGCATCTAATTACTGATTATTCAAGATTGAAGGAATCCTAGGGTGGCTAAACCAAATTTGAAAAAAGAAATTTCACTACAATCCTTTTCTTTTTCAAGTATAAAATTTCACTTTTACTATTTGATCCTAGCTTGTCATGCAGCGTTATGTAGAAGCAGAGCCAGGATTTAAAGTTTATGGATTTTGAACTTGTTATCGGCCTCATAGCTCGTTTTAGTTACTGGATTCGCAATTCAATAAAAATTTCTTAATATAAATACAGAGTCTAAGTAAAAGCTAGTGGATTTGTTCGAGCTCGTAACTCATGTTGTAGCTTCACCCCGAGTTTCATGCAAAAAATATTATCTCTCATCCCTTATAAAACATTAACACTGTCTGTTAAACTATTCAAAGATTTTAATTAAGGGTTTTACATATATATTAAAATCAAAGAAAGTAACTTTATGCCTAATACTATCAATTTCCTTAAATAACTCTCCCCATTATAAAAATTTATAAAAATTTGTCCCTCATACAAGCAAAATAATCGTGGAAATATTCTAGCTTTCAACTAGGCCAAAGTTTGGCCAAAAGGCAATAACAAGCTAGTTGCTGCAATGTACATCTACTCATCAAAATGTATACTACTACTGCTACTACTATATGTATGTTCATACTAATTAAAGTCAACCTTTGCCAACCTCTTTATGTGTATTTTCCAGTATAAATTTCTTCATGTTCAATCTATTATATTATATCGTCAAAATTTTGATTACTTCTTTCTCTCAACCTACATTTGGTGTAAGCTTGAGGTTTTGCTTTATTAAGCTTATTTTGCTCAAGAAGAAAAGGCTCAAATATTCTGTTTCTTTATAATTCTCTCGTTATTTCTTTATTCCCAAGGTAATGTTGTTGCACATACACTTTCTAATTAATATATTCATTGCTCTTTTTTTTATTAGATTATTAGGAGAAAGGAAATGAAATACATGCATTCTTGGAAGTTGGGTTTTGACAATTTGAGATTCTAAGTGGTTTTAACATTAATGTTGGAAATTGTGTGTATCTTTGAGTTTTATGCAAGTGAAATATATACCTTATTATGGACTGTTAATAAGGTATTGTGTCCTCGGAGGTGTGTATCTTGGAATTTTTTTTATTTTTTTTTTTTTGAAAAAATAATCTTTGAAAAACTCATTTTCGAAAAATCTTCAAAAATTTACAAAATTTCATGGACAAACACGTTTTTTAAAAAATTTCGATGTTTTTTTTTATGGACAAACGGTCCTAATTAAGTGGTTTTAACATTTGGAAATTGTGTGTATCTTTGAGTTTTCTGCAAGTGAAATATATACCTTATTATGGAATGTTAAGTCTTTAAGAGATTCATGTGATCAAGAACTTTGAGTATATTCTATATTTCAACGTTTTTTGTCTTTCTATTTTTTGGTCATTTAAGTATAATAGCAGCCGGTGCTTTCCCAACCTAAAGTAATCCGTTTAGTTTCCAGATTGTATTTCTTAATTATGTTATAAGTAATTGATAATTAAGTACTTAGTAATAATGATAATTGATTAAAGTTCTTAATGTGTTTGAAGTAACAGTTTGTTGTTACTACTAAAAATTGATGTTTTTTATTTACTGTGGTCTGTGGATAAGCTTTTTGAAAACTTTATTTAAAGTCTGTTCATATAATGCAAATTAAGTAGCTTATTTTTCATGTTACTAATTAATCTTTTAAGGTAGTTGTCAGTAGTTTTACGTGAGTAGGGGTGTCAGTGGTTCGGTTCGGCCATTTATTTTATAAAAATTGTACCATACCAATTTTCGGTTATTCTATTATGTATAACCAAAATTAGACTTTTCGAAACTGTACCAATCATATCGGTTTCTCTTCGGTATCGGTACGGTTCGGTTAATTTTCAGTATTTTTGTAAATATCATGTAAAATTCACCAATAGAAGTAGAATGCAATAACATACGTTCTTTTATGGGACTTAGCACAACTCTTTAGATATTTTACTATTTAAAGGGTGATGAATTAAAAAAATGAAAGATGACTAGAGTATAGATCCATCAACTATTCTACAACAACGTAAAAGAAATCAAGCAACGACAAAGAAAATATAAATCACACAAGTAGAAAGATATTAATCAAGCTAGAACTCTAGAATAAAGTTTATAGAAGATTAAATATTCGAAAAGAGATACCTAAATTATATGAAAGGAAACATATTCAATACATTGTAGTTTGCTACTCGTAATCGCTATAATACTTTGTGGATCTTGCTAATAAAGATACTTGAAATAACTTAGTTTAAGTAGAAGTAGCATAATAGGTTTTAGGAATTAGTATTTTGAGTTTAATTGCTTGTTGGCTTGTAATAGTTTTCATAATTCCAAGGCCTAAGAAAAATTTAATGCATTATATATTATTTTTAAACTTACTAGATAAATATATTTTCTACATGTAAAATTTATTCGGTACGGTTCGGTATTTTTTCGGTTTATTTTTATAAAATAAAAAATCTACCCTAATTATCGGTGCGGTTATAGATTTATATAAAAACCTTAAGAAACCTAAAAATCGGTTTGGTGCGTTACGGTTCGGTCGGTGTAGTCCGTTTTCGAATATCCATTGACACCCCTACCTGTCAAAGATTCCATTTTGTCTTTTTCCTTACTTGTATTTGTGGGGTGGGGGGGGGGGGGGGGGTTATTTTAAGACTCTTAGGTACAAAGATTAGATTTGGAGTGTAAAAGACGCAGGTGAAGGCCTTCTTTTGTGGCATCAAAACGGGGCTTTATTAATGAGTGTCTATAGTGGTGAACTTGTATGTGAAGATAGTAGTAGTAGTACAACATAACGCGTTGCTTATTTGTACAAGCTTTAAACCGTTAACCCCATGTGATCTTGCCTCATTTCTCATGGACTTCCTTCAATTCCAACTTTATTAATTACTTTGCACACATACTTATATGTATGTCCTATATATATATACACAATTCTTGCACAGGATCCTATTGCTCTACAAACTCCAATACTCAAAAGTTTCCCTTCATATCCCACGTAAAAAGTCCTTCAACTTTTAGTTGTGTGAACTAACAAGCTCATTTCAATCATAGTTTCAACCGTTGGTATTCTAAGGTAAGTGCATGTTTTATGAATGTCATACACGAATCCATTATCTAGAATCAGTCAGTTCAGAATGAGCTTGATCTTATTATATGTATACGTTTTAACTTTTTTTATACATGTATTACATAGTTCGAGTCAAAAATAAAGAAGCATGTCCTAAATCTGTCTCTAAATTGAATGTTTGGTTTTTCTTTCAATATATGGTTTTCACTTGATTATTTTTAACATTTTTTTTGGTGGATAGTTGATCTTGTATATGTATATATTTTAACTTTTTTTATACATGTATTACATAGTTCAAGCCGAAAGTTATAAAACATGTCCAACTCTGTCGCTAAATTGAGCTTTTTCTTTTCTTTTCAATATATGCATGGTTTTGATTTGATTGTTTTGAACATTTTGTAGGTGGATAGTTGATTTGGCTCCATTTATGAGATGGGGTTAGTCAGGAATCCTAATATGAAAAGTGGAGAGTATTTGGAAGGTATGTTAAGTGACTACATGGGAGGAAAAGCAAAGATGAGAACACCAAAAAGTTCTTCAACTAAGCTTGTGACAGTGTTAACTTGCTTACAATTTGCTTTTGCTGTTTATGCAACATTTCTTCTGTATTACATGAGTCCATCAGTAGATTTAAGGACTAAACCAGACTTTACATGGGCTACGCGAATCGCGCAGTCATGGAAACACTTCATTATACCTCCACATGTTGTTAGTCATTATCAAGAAGTTAATAAAACAGAAATCCAACTAAAGCCAATTAGTCCTTCTGATGTTTGTGAACATGAGAAGATTGATTTTGAGCAGAAGAAATCTAATGATGCACTTATGATCAAGTTGAAGACAGAACTTTATCAAGAACTAAGAGATTTTCAAGGCAAGAATCTTGGTACTGAGACTCTTTCTGAGCTAATGGCAATGAAGTCTAAGTGGGATTTGCGCGGTCCAAACAAGCCAAAAATCACAGTGATCTTGAACCATTTCAAGAGGAAAACTCTGTGTTCTCAACTTGATTCTTTGCTTGGACAAACTCTCCCATTTCATCATGCTTGGGTAGTTGCATTTGGAAGTCCTAATGAGCAATCACTTAAGAATATTGTAGATAGTTACAATGACTCAAGAATAAGTTTTATCAGTTCAACTTATGATTTTAAGTACTATGGAAGGTTTCAAATGGCTTTGCAAACAGAAGCTGATCTGGTATATATCGTAGACGATGACATGATTCCAGGGAAGAAAATGTTGCAAATTTTAGCACATGTAGCAGGGACAGACAAGTACAAGAATTCTGTTTTGGGAAGCATTGGTAGGATTTTGCCATTTAGACAGAAGGATTTTACTTTTCCGAGCTACAGGAAGTTTCGATCCAAGGAAGCCGGGCTTTATTTGCCTGATCCTGCTTATAATATCACTGTTGACAGAATTGTTCAGGTGGATTTCCTCTCCAGTTCTTGGTTTCTTTCTGCTGAACTAGTCAAGACACTTTTCATCGAAACGCCCTTCACTTTCATGACAGGAGAAGACTTGCACTTAAGGTAATCTTTTCTACTTCAGTTATGTTAAAATGGTATGTTTTGTTAGATCAACTTGACTTGTAAAATTGATTAGAAGTAGTCAAGCTATCTGATAAAGTTACACTATTGAAATGTTGCATATACTGTTCCTCTCTTGTATGATAAGTTCATTTTACCTTATTCATCGACTCTTTTCGAAAATTCCTTCAGATATGAAACAAAGCCTTTTATGAAGTAGACACTTAGATCTTTTTCAATCTCTGAAGGTTATCACCTATTTGCTATTATCAGCTTCATCAGTAAAATATTAAGAAGTCCGCCTTGGCGTAACTGGTAAATTGCTGCCATGTGACCAGGAGGTCACAGGTTCGAGCCGTGTAAACAGTCTCTTGCAGAAATGTTAGGCCCTTACCCGAACCCCGCGCATAGCGGGACCTTAGTGCACTGGACTGCCCTTTTTATCATTAAAATATCAGAAACCTATAAGAATCTGTAGTTTTGAAAGACTGCAATGATCCATCATGTACAATATTTCAAAGTAATGACTTATGCCAGAGAAAAAATTTCAATAAGAAAATAATTCAAAATGATGCATAATATAGGATATAAAGGGATGAATAGATATTAGTTCAACAAGGGTGATATAATCTATCACATGTTAATACTATTGTTGAAGTTTCTAAGAGTTTTACTTTCCTGAAAAAACAAAATGCAGCTATCAGCTTCAGAAGTATAGAAATGCTGGATCATTTGTGCTGCCAGTTGATCCAAAGGACAAAGAAACTTGGGGTGACAGTGAGCACAGACTTGCTTATGTATCCGAAACCACTGTTATATTCAAGGATACAGTTCAAGTCCGGGACGACCAATGGTGGAAAGCACTCTCCACCGGTTATGTAACACAATGGGCAGCAATGAATCCTCAGAAAATTGATGCACTTTTCTATGCCCACTCTGTCGATGAAGTTAAAGCACTCGCGCCTCTTCTTGAGAAATTCAGGTCAACTGTTGGAAAGAAGGCCTACATTGTTGTCTCAGGAGGCAGCTTCTGCCCTTGCGAAGATGCTGTTACAGCTTTAAACTGGCCTAAGGTTGTATGCAAAGAAAGAAGATTCAAGATTATGGATTTAGGAGTTGGTGCTCTATCAACTATTTCAAATTCAGAAGTGCCCGTCGTTCAAGCAGTCTATGCTAGCATGAAAGGACTAATCAACATTCATAACCCGAGCCTTGTGATCACAGTAGCTGATGCAGATCCTAATGTGAAGAAAGCACTCAAGATGGCTACAGAAGCTAACACAAACAGTTCAACTTTGGTCCTTTTACCTAGATCATCGGTTACTAAGGTTCTTTGGATGGCTGATATTCGGTCCACAGCATTGCCAAGTAAGTAATTGATGGATTTTATGCCTTACATTTCCCTTATTCTTTTCCTGCATTTGATCTATAGTCTGAAAAATGCAATTTGTACTTGTAGATTGGAACCGTATGAGGCTTTCCATAAATATCATCACACAGAATAGAGCTAATTCACTAGCAAGGCTTCTCAAGGCTCTCAGCGACGCATACTATATAGGCGATGAAGTTCCTATTACTTTCAACATGGATAGCAAAGTGGATGAAGCAACTATAAAGCTTGTTAACTCATTCAATTGGCCTCACGGGCCTAAAACTCTTCGAAGGAGAATCATTCAAGGAGGCCTAATTCGAGCTGTTAGTGAGAGTTGGTACCCTTCATCGGATGATGATTTTGGCCTATTACTCGAAGATGATATCGAAGTCTCCCCTTACTATTACCTCTGGATCAAATATGCTGTCTTGGCCTACCACTATGACCCTCAAATATCACTTCCTGAGCTCTCATCAATCTCTCTTTACACGCCACGGCTGGTGGAAGTTGTAAAAGAAAGGCCTAAATGGAATGCAACGGATTTCTTTAAGCAAATTCATCCAAACACACCTTATCTCCACCAATTGCCTTGTAGTTGGGGTGCAGTTTTCTTTCCCAAGCAATGGAAGGAATTCTATGTTTACATGAACATGAGGTTCACTGAAGATGCAAAGCAAAATCCTGTTCAGATACCAAAATCAAGAACAAATGGTTGGCAAGCTTCTTGGAAAAAGTTTTTGATAGATATGATGTACTTAAGAGGGTATGTTAGCCTTTATCCGAACTTTCCAAATCAAACGAGCTTTACAACAAATCATATGGAACCAGGTGCACATATTGCTGCTAAGGAGAATGTGGTTAAGCATAACAAGGCTGATTTTGAAGTGCCATTGCTAAAGGAAGATTTCAAGAACCTTTTGCCAAATGGAAAAATGCCTCCGGTTTCAAAGTTGCCTTCATTGAACCTCTTCAATCAGCCTGTTTCTCTTAAAGGCTTAAAAGCAGCAGGAGCAAAACTAGGGAAAGATGTTATTCAATGCAGTCCAATGGAGATAGTAGCCGTTCACCACGATACAGGTTTACCTTCACATTGTGCAAGATTCTGAAAACTCCATACTCGTCCGATGATCACAAATTAATTCTTTTGTTTTCTCTCCCAAAATCTGTTTTGGTGGGAGAGAAAGATGAGGCTTTGATTCAGCTTTATTTCTCATGCAAGGAAGGGGAATAAGGATTCTTTATGAATGATTGCAGATGAGAATTATATAGGTACTCTTGTAATATTGCAGCCAAAATTGGCTTTCTGTATCATCTTCTTTTGCATCATTCTTGCAATCAATGAAAGAAATGAAGACAAATTCTTCCAAAAACTTTAGCATTGCCTTTGTTTATTACTTGTCAGTGTCTTAAAAAGTTTAGACTCCAAATCATAAAGTTTGGATTATCATGTCATTGCAACAAATTTCAAGTTTCAATCAGCATGTCATAACTGAAACAACCGCATTTAAAAGATAATTGAACATGGTACCTAAGAATTCTTAAGAACTTAATCACTAGGCCAAGCCTGGCATGGCATTTTTTTGTTGTTGGTATAGTTGAAAGGATTTAACTTGTATATTGTTTACTCTAAAATTCGAGTAACAATTAAACTTGTATTGTGGTTTTAAAGATATATGATTTAATCCAATACTAACTGATAAACAAGGAATCAAGTGTATAAATTAAAGAGTAAGGCAAGTCAAATCAGTATGTAAGCAAGTCTCGACCTCGAGCTATGGCAAACTCGAGGTAGGTGAATACGAACAATAAAATAATAACAATGAGATTCAGACGAGCAGTAAGCAAGAAAGTGATGTATGTATATTCTCTTGTCAATGATTGATTCGTTACAAATGATTGGGATCCCCTTTATATAGTAGGGGAATCCTAAATAAGGTACACTTCTAATTATAGTAGGGAATCTTATTATATAGCTGTCTAACCGCCTAGTACAAATCCGTTCAGGAATTTACACCATGATCTTAAGGTCATTGCGGGAATCTCGTTCTTTCTGTTATGAAACCATAACGATATTATCTCGAGGTTGGTCATACTTGGCCTCGGCGTTCATCGAGCACTTCGATCTTTGAGTCTCGTACTCCGTCATCGGTCTCGAGCTTGGTCCATTTTGAACTTATTCTTCGAAGTGACCCCTCGAGCCTACGAAATCGGGCAGACCTGATTTCGACCATATACAGATAGTCCCCGCGTTTGTTAAAATAGAATGATAAGAAACGACTTGAGCCTCGATTTTCCAGAGTCCCTGACGATGATGTCATCCCCGTGATGTAGGCACTCGAAGTGACTGAAACATCTTGTCGGTTCGCTTCCCCAAAACATTAAATGCTTCACCAGTGGTGGTCGCCACTAGCGCCGTCGAACCGTCGCCGCTTGCCTATAAATACAAGGCTCAAATTCGAATAAAAAAATTTACTTCCATCTTCAAACCACCTTCAAATTTCCTTTATCTCTCCCCCTCTTCATCTTCCTCTCTCATTACCTGTTACTCTCGCCCCTTTTAGTGCCAAAAGATATCAAGCTCCGCCTATTTTCGCTTCCTCTAACTCAAATCAATGGCGAAAACCTCCAAAATAGTTCCTCAAAAGGAGAAAGCTTCCTCCTTCTCTTCCCGGGGGCCGGTGATAAAGCGCCGGCCCTTCACGAGATTATTCTCAGCCCCTGTGTCATAAAGAAAGACTTCAAATTTGAAAATCCCCCAGCTATTCCTGGTCGATGCGAGCATGTATCGAGGTATATTTGCTCGATAACGGAGAAGCACCTCAAGTCCATGAAGAAGGACTTTGGCTGGGAGGACAAGATCGTGGTACTCACGTGGAGGGGTTCTTAAGTATTGACACTTACCCCTTCACGTTGGGTCCACTCGATCCAATTGTGATCGCCTTCTGCAAGAGGTATCAGGTCACCTCGGCCAGATCCTCCCTTCTTTCTGGTGTAAAGTGATCATGCTTCGCTATTTCTCCAGCAAGGCCGAGGGGCTAGAGTTCACCCTCAATCACATCATCCGATTGTATCGGCCTCAGCTTTTCCGAGGGTTGATCAAGCTCCAATGCCGATCGACCAAGGCCTTCTTTGCTTGAATTGACAAGGATAAGGACCGGGGCTGGATGAGCCAGTTCGTACGAGTGAGGACATGTGACGTCATCTCGTAGGGGAAAATGTCGTTCCCAGAGAACTGGAACCCCGGTCGTAAGTGAAGTTTTTCTCTAGTAGCTTCTTGTATTTTGTTTTCGCATTGCGTGATGCCTTCACCCTTTTTACAGCGATTGCTTGGATGCCCCATATGGTCGCCGACCTTAATGAATGGGTCCATAAACTAGCTGCGATCTCCTCGTATGACGAGCGCTGATGGCGTGACTTGGCGAGGGGCAGATGGGAAGCCAAACACCACGGTAAGTTCCTCTCAAAAGTTTTCAATGCTTTCCCCTTTACTGGATACGTTTATTTACTCATACCTATTTTCCATTCATGTAGGCATTGGAGATGTCTCTGAAATGAGGCCAACCCCGTCCGAGGAGGAGACCGAGTCCCCGATTCCGAAATCTGACATGAAGTCTGGTAAAATTTGAGACTTGATAGCCATTCGGGGTTGATATTCGATATCGTACCCGCGAAGTTCGATGGCCCATTTGGCCAATCGGCCCGATAACTCGGGCTTGTGCAAAACATTTTGGAGCGGATAAGTGGTTATCACACATATGGGGTGACACTAGAAATATGGCTTTAATTTTCTAGATGTCTTTATTAATGCAAGTGCCAATTTCTGTAAGTGTGGATATCTTGTTTCAACATCTCCTAAAGTTTGACTTACGTAATAAACAGGAAACTGCGTACCTTGCTCTTCTCGAACTAGTACGCCACTTACCGCTATTTCAGACACTGCCAAGTATAAGTACAGCTTCTCATCTTCCTTTGGAGTGTGGAACGCGGTGGGCTCGATAAGTATCGCTTCAATTCCTCCAATGCTTGCTGGCATTCCGGGGTCCATGCGAAATCGTTTTCTTTTTGAGTAAGGAAAAGAACATGTGGCTTCGATCTGATGACCTCAAAATGAATCAGCCCAAGGCAGCTATCCGTCCGGTTAGCCTTTGTACGACTTTCACACTATCTACGACGGTGATATCCTCGATGGCCTTGATCTTGTCGGGGTTGATTTTGATTCCCCGATTTGATACCATGAAGCCGAGGAACTTTCCCGAGCCGACCCCGAAGGCACATTTTTCTAGGTTAAGCTTCATGTTGTACTTCCTCAAGATTTCGAATGTTTCCTGCAAATGAGTCAAACGGTCCTCTGCGCGCAGGGACTTAACCAACATATCGTCAATGTAAATTTCTATTGATTTACCTATTTGTTCCTCGAACACTTTGTTAACTAGGCGTTGGTATGTACTCCTGAATTTTTTAGCCCGAAGGGCATTACATTGTAACAGTATGTTCCATACTTGGTGATAAACGAGGTCTTCTCCTGGTCTTCCGGGTTCATCTGAGTTTGATTGTACCCGGAATAGGCATCGAGAAAGGTAAGGATCTCGTGGCCAGCCGTGGCATCGATCATGCGATCGATGTTAGGCAGTGGAAAAGAGTCTTTAGGGCATGCCTTGTTTAAATTCTTGTAATCTACGCACATTCTAAGTTTGTTCCCTTTTTTGGGACTGCGAATACATTGGCTAACCATTTGGGGTATTTTACCTCCCGGATGGACCCTATTTTAAGAAGTTAAGTTACCTCATCCTTTATGAATGCATGTTTCACCTCGGACTGGGGCCTTCTCTTTTGCTTCACCGGTTTGAACCTTGGGTCGAGGCTTAACCAGTGTATTGTTATCTCCGGTGGGATCCGTATCATGTCTAAATGGGACCAAGCAAAACAATCCATGTTATCGATAAGAAATTGAATGAGTATTTTTCTGAGTTCGGGGGTTAACCCCGTTCCGAGGTATACCTTCCGTTCGGGTAGATGCTCGTTCAGTATCACATGTTCCAGCTCTTCGACCGTTGACTTGGTTGCATCTGATTCTTCGGGAACAATGGAAGTTCGAGGAGTAAGGAAATTCTCTTCTTCTTCTTCGATTACCTGTTTCTCCGATTCGGTCGAGGCTGGGGACGGTGATTGCTATTTGGCCATCTGCTTATCTTTGGTGCTCGATTTTTCTGAGGTCTAAGGTGCTGATATAGGCGTCACCTCATCGACTGCAAACATTTCCTTTGCAGCGTGTTGTTCTCGTAAACTGTTTTCACACCATCCACTGTAGGGAATTTCATCATTTGATGAAGGGTCGTCGGTACTGCATCATGTTGTGGATCCATGGCCTTCCGAGTAGTGCATTATATCTCATGTCGCCTTCGATGACATGGAATTTTGTATCTTGGATGGTACAGGCCACGTTTACTGGTAGGATTATCTCTCCCTTCGTTGTTTCACTTCCCATGTTGAAGTCGTTTAGGACTCGAGATGCAGGCACAATTTGGTCCTGCAAGCCGAGCTGCTCTACGACCCTCGATCTGATTATGTTTGCTGAACTACCTGGATCCACTAGAACACGTTTTGTTACAACCCATATTCACATACGTTAGTTCATTCCATAAGGTCGTCGATGTAAATCCATGAAGAGATTATCTTTGAGATGATAAGAGATTAATCCTATTGGTCTTAAATGATACAAAGGTGTATAAGGGTGGTTAACAAGTATTAGAAGTTAAACGAATCAAGGATGTTGTCAGCCGTATTTTTGGGTAAACCTAGGGGTGCTTAATACTCTCAAGAGGTCGTATTTTAAGGTATATGAATCATAAAATATTCGTATCATAGTCTTGAAGTCAAACGAGTTATGAAACAAAAGTCGACAAGAGTTGTTGCAACTTAAGTTCATAGTTTTACTTAAACTTTAGGTCAAATGTTATTAAGTTTTTCTCCCAATATACTTGGAATTACGGGGTGATATACCCACCAAATTGAAGATCTATGAGTCTAGTTTCCAACGCATTAAACCTTTTATCAATACGACATTGGAGTAGAGAGATAATTGCGTTTTCGCGAGACTGCGCCAAGCACCTCTCTATGGGACCCACTTAGGCGGTTTAAGACATTTGGATCTATATAGGACGCCTCCAACCCGTTTTAAGTCATTTATTTTCACTATTTTCAGACCTTAGAACCCTAGGAACACCCTCTCAAGGTTCTCTCAAGATTCAAGACCCAAACAAAGGGCAAACAACAAAAATCAAAGTAGTCGGGGAAAGTACCCTGTGGCGGCTAAAATTCTCTTGTTCTTCTTGTTGTTGCTCATTTTTGTGTTGTTCCAGCTCGT